TTTGTAAAATGTCTATATTAGAATATTTTAAATTTCGTTTTCTTTTTTTTTTGGTCTCTGTCTTGAATTTCATCGATCAACTCATAAATCCAGGCAACATGTGACTTTAACTTATGACGTGCAATCAAACTGTAATTTCAGTACTTTAACTTTATACAACCCTTCAGTATTACTCTCCTTCTAATATTATCAATTTATTTAATGAGACACTCTATATAATTTCGTTGTACTTATATTTCTAGGTTAATATTACAATTGTAATTTTATAAGAAACTTTAATTTTATAAGGTACGTTTACTTACTACATGAAATTCATATTTATTAAAAAAAAGGGTTTTTCATTACTACATAAAATTGAACAGTTAATCTAGTTGCCTCACGCGCAGTGTTGAAGTAATAGATATTATTTCAGTGTAGGGGCTATGGAAGGTCGGGGGGGGAGGGTACAGAAAATTGAGTGAGGTGACAATGAAAGGCCTGTAGGGGTTGTAAGAGGCTCAACAAAAAGCCAACTCTCTACAAATAAGAGAGAAAACAAGCATATTTTATCATTTTTTGTAGAGGCTGTGGGGCTATTAAGAAAGAGAAAGAGCGGGTATTTTGGTGCTGTGAGGGAAATTGTGGTATACTACACCAAAATTACTATATAATAGGGTAATATATATACACCCCAGTTGAACATTTTTTACTTATTCATTCAATTTTTTTTATGAATAATGCTGAAGTGTTCGTTTGATCACTGTAACAATTAAAATAGAAATTAAAAAAAAATATCGTTTTAAGAGATTCCGGACAATAATCTGCTTCGTACTTAAAAGCTTTTTTAAACTTAGCATACAAACATAGTGGTGAGAGCTTCGATGGCTTAGTGGTTAACATGATAGCCTCCTAGCCAGGGGTCGAGGTACTCGAGGGGTCATGGGTTCGAGTCCCGTCAAAAATTATCGAGGTTTTTTTTCGGTCTTTTCGGATGGGATGAGTATCCAGGATGCTGAAATACCACTTATCCGAATTTTCAAACAAATAGTGGATTTTTTCTGGTGATGTCTGGACCTCCACAAGTCTCCTTTGCAAAGGAAAGCCAACACCTGGCTAGCTCATCGGATAAAGTCACTGTTGGTTATAAAAAGGTAGGTACAGCGAGTTAGATGGTTTATTAGAAGAATATTTTTCCATTCAACTTGATAATAGCTGGGATGTGCTTGAGACAATCCTTGCACCCTGTAAATAGTACCTAGTAGGATGGATGACCAAGTCATCTAAAGAGAACTTTGCAAGGGGTTCGCACGAAAGACTCGCATACTTGGAGAAATAGGATAGTAGTAATGACGAAGAAAACTAAAAAAGGTAGAGATTAGGGACATAAGATACGTAAAAATCCTGAAATTGGGATACGTTGGAATCTTAATACTACATACTACTACTACAAACATGGTGGTGTGATGGAAGCGTTTTCGATTAGTCAAGCAAAATGGACGCGATACGCCACACTTTTTTTTACATCATGGCTTATAGTAATTTAAATTCTACATTGGACACTACGTATAGCATACTGTATAGACCGATATAAAATGTAAACAGAGGTATAATAAATATATTTAACGTATATAAACAGAAAGTGGGTGAAGTGACGGGAGATACTTTATTGCGAATTATTAAATTATTTAAAATGTATCAAAGTGTTGCACAAAGGTATTATTTAAATGCAAAAGTGAGCAAATATTCTAAGCAATACGATAATAAATATTAAATTTATATGCAACTAATATGAACAAAGAATACCCAAACTCAGCTCTCATGAAATTATGTTATTAAAAAAAAAAAAAAAATTAGATCGTAAATGAAAAATAATCATCACTTATTAATATAAAGTGTATCTATTCGCTTTATAGGCAACGTAAAAAATGTATATTAAACACATGATGGGAAAAGATATGCTGGATAATAATAGGAACGAAAAAAATGTGAAGGACCATGAGGGGAATCCAATAATGATGTAAAGAGTATGGAGGAGTTTTCAACCCAAATAGTGTTGCATTAAATTTACAGAGATATTAAACGAATTTTCTCTTATTGTAAGGAAGCTGAGGGGCCCGTTACCAAAAAAATTATATAACAAAGGACCATCTTATCATATTATATAAAGACTTATGTAGGGCTTACCACATTTCCTGCCACAGTTATTGCAGCCCCAACAGCCCCCAGGGCATACCAGGACAACATTTATTCTTTTCCTTTTGTCAATGAAAAAAAAAATTAATTTTACAGTTATAAAAAATTTTAAAAAACTTTTTAAATAAACATACAAAAATTATTAATTATACTAATTGTTTTGAACACTAGTAACTTCAAATATTTAATTATGAGGTTTTTAGTTCGTTACCAATTATAACATTATTATCATTATTATTATTCAATACGTAAAAATTTGTACATCAAATGTTGTGATAAACGATGAATTTGTTATTATAATGCATGTTTGCATAGTATAATTTTTTCTTTAGATTATATTTTACAAAATATACTCAACGTTGTTCCAGTCAAAAAGTAAACGAACGATTCTATGACTGGTTATTTTTTTTTTAAAGAAATACCTATACAATGCTAGTCCAAGTCATTAATAAAATTTTTGTAACTTTTTGTAAAATGTAATTAATAAATGTTATTGCGAAGAAATTTTTCTTAATCTTTCAAGACGATGAGTAAAAAAATTTTTATTAGTTGGCTAACGTACATATTTAAAAACATTTTTATGATTATCGTTTAACTAAGAATGTATTGACAGAAGCATGTGTTTACAGAAATCAACATCTTGAGTATTGTTATTTTGGTTTCAATTACTTTTTTTTGAAACTGGTAAATTAAATAATAACAATGATTTGTTTTTCAACTCAAAAAATTGATTCATGTGCAGAAGAGCACCGTTTTCTTTTTTATGAATGAAATATTCTGGAAAATAACTTTTCCATTTAACTAAACATTTTTTTTTAATATACAATGGACTTGGATGTTTTTGAAAATCAAAAACTATGCTAAAAATTGTCGTCATTAAAAAGAAAGCATAATTGTGCTAGCTTCTTTATACATTTTATCGGTTTGAGTATCATGATCAATTAAGCTCATAGCAACTACATTATCCCTAAACGTTTTGTATTTAATATTATGTAATTCTAAATTCTCAAACGACGTTGCTCCATGATTTTATTTAATAACTTTACAAAAATTTTTTTTTGATACTTAGGATATACTATGTTAAATCTGACTGTTATATTTATTTTCCATTTCTTAAAGTTATTACTAAAAATACATTTTTCTAAAATATTTACAGACTTTAATGATTTCGTAAATGAAAGATTTTATTCAATTAAAACCAAGCTGTTAAGGGTGTTTGCTATTGTGTTATCGTGTTTATAAATTTCTTTGCTTTAAATATTGATTTTTGCTTATTTTCAAGATGCACAGCAAGATTGACTACTTGGAGACCACAAATTAAAAAATCTTACAGTCTTCATGCTTCTTTTATCAGACTAAGTTATCTATCATTAGCTTTTTTTTTAATTTGATCTGGAATTTCATTTTCAGAATTTCTTACTCTTTGAATTTACAGAAATGCTGTGTTTATTGCTTTGTATGGATGCACAGTATTTAACATTTATGCGGCATTCGTATTTTATTAAAAAGAATTTGTTATAAGATATAACTACTGAATTAAATGAATTGTATATATAATTAAATAATTCGTAACAATCAACAATTAAATATTTGATGATTAATAATTAATAACTTAGGTATTTATGCTGATATTATTTTATCAATGTGCTCAGGGGTAATTATTTTCTTGTTCGGGTGTAATGATATAAGAAGAAGTGCATTATTTATTAGTGTCATTAGTAAGTAGAATTTTATCTTTATTTTTAGTTTTACAATAATGATTGTCCAAAAAATTATTTTTTCTTATGAACTATGGGTAACAATTTTTTTCTAACACTGTTATACCAGTGAAAAGCTTAGAAAATTTTTCGACACAATTATTGTTACATATACCTAAACATAGACTTTCTGAGGTATGAGGGCCATGCTTCATATGTTTAATTACTAATCCTGCATGATGTTTATTGTTCAAAGGTATTTTAGCTAATATTATTCTATCGATGTATTTGAAGGTGATTACATTATTGTTCAGATGTAATGGTATTAGAAAAAATGCATATGGTAGATTACGTTTCTGACATTCTATGGTGTAAACGTAAGCTAATTAATACTTTACCAAAAATGTGTTTGCGAGTAAAATCATTTAAAATGGATCGTAATTTAGTACGAAACAGTCTATCAGTTATATTGAAAATATCATTTGGAATATCAACAAAGGAATATTAAATGCAATAAACTTCATTAATATGTTTTTATGAAACTGCTAAAAGCAAAAAAAATGTTTTCAGTTTTTATTTCAACTCTAGAAGACCAAGTAAAAAAAAAATTTTTTGCTTATAAAATTAACTAGTAGCCACAAACTAACAACTTTTTTTGGCACGTTAGCAAAGACAACGTTAAAGGGTTAAAATCCATAATAGGTAGGGCTGAGCCTGCAGTTTTATACGAGCTTGTTTAAACTAAGAGTTTTGTATCTCAGTACAATATTTTTGAAAGAATACTAACTTTTTAGCTTTTGCAAATCCTTACACTCATTATTTTATGCAAGCATTTCAGGTATACTAAACTCCAATATCCATTTAAGAGGTCTGTTAATTCTTTTTTTATATCGTAGATGAGACTTACATTGAAAAAATTCAAGGTAAGCCTGCAAAAACATTCGAACTAATAACTCTTAGGTTTGGTAGCTGGCGCATTAATATCTTAGCTTCTACATTAGCAACTAAATAACAATAAATAGATTTTTGCATAATATTGGTAACTAATGATTGAGGAAAGATTTTGTAAAAGAAAGTATTTCTAAATTTTCGTTTATAGCAATTAATACATTTATTTGATACCATACTTACTTCACTTGTCTGATCACTACTTTCAGTATGTTTATCTTTGGTCATTATTCTTTTTAAAGTAGACCTTTCTCTAGCAGAATTTTTTCTGTGATTACTTTTGGCGTGAGTTAAAAGGGGCTGTATATGCGTGTTCTTTCTTGTGCTTATCGCTACTGAAGTGGAAAAATCATGGTCTTCGTTAACTTCCGTAAGGGCAAACAAGTCACCATAACATTTCCTTATAGAATCATTGCAAACAGTCTGTACATGCGATAACGCTTTTTGCATACTTTCTGACTGATACAGTTGTAGTTCTGGGATAGTTGTGCAACTTTGGCGTAAAAGATCTAGATGTCCTAGTAACTGTTCTCCCGAAGGTAAATTAGACTGATTTTGTTTGACTGCCGAACGTTTACGTTTATTTGGACTGCAAGGTGGGTATCTAGTACATAAAAGTGATGACAGCAACTCACTAAGCTTTTCTTCATACTCTCGACACCAATATTTAAGCACTGCTACGACAAACATGTCGTTTTCAATATGTTGCCGTGATAAAAGCTGTTTTAAAATTTCTTGATTAGGCCTGTAAAAAAGTTTAAATAACTAATTACATTTTTAAATTATTGTTAAGATTTTTATCTTATTAAGCAATTCAGTAGTATTTACAACGATTCGATATAACAATTAAAATACACAAATTAATTTGTTAAATAGTATTTGTGAGTCTATTATCATATATTTTAATAAATTTGATAAGTGAATAGCTTATTATCAAGAAAGTACATCACCAACAGATTTTTCATAATCTAAGGCATAACAAAAATGTAACAAACATGTTATTACTAAGCCTTAATCACAATTAAAAAGTTAGAATACTGTAAAGCTTATTTATCTCAAAAAGTCGGAACTAATGAAGTTTTTGCGCAACAAATTTAGTGCTGAAATTGAGATTATAATTAAATCATAAGTTATAAGTTGATTGCAGCAGACTTTTAGCTTTTTAAAGTAAAACTTTTTTTCATAAAGCCTACATATTTAAAACAATTTAATTATGTTACCTCAGCAGATAATTACTTTATTTCAGATAATATAGAATTCAAACTAAGATAAATAATAGTTCTACATCATCCCATCTGTAGAAAATCTACAGTTGAGGAATCAAAGGAATTTTTTAGAGGCTATTAGTTTTAAAAGATTGAATAAGCTATGAGCTCTATAGACTAGTCATCAGAGAGGTTATGGTATAAAAATATGCAAAAGTCAGTTTCACCTCTCTCTTTTTATCTTTTTTAAATGTACATTTATTGAACTAACTTCCCAATACTGAATAAATGGTGTATTACTGTTTGATTGTGCAATGAAGTAAGGAAAAACGATTTTTTTGTTTTTTAATTATATGATGTTTACCAAAAATTGTAAAACATTTCTCCAATAAAATAAGTTGAAACTATTGAAAATATATACCAAGCAAGCCTTAAAAAATTTGGGTCAATTATTTGGTTATTAATTTTTTATCTTCATTAAAAAAAACTAAGATGTACGACCTGTAGAAGCTAAAATGAATTTATTTCACAAATATACTTAATGCTCCATTTTACAATGTCGAGAGTTAAAATTCGCCGTGACGATAGTCTAATATTTTTATTTTCTGTGAAACATGTATCGCATTTTACCGGTATAGTCTGTTGCTAATCTAATGTTATTATAAACGCATACGTGCTATGGTCAACTGCTAATTGACTTAATGTAACTATTGTTGTATAATTTTTTGAGAATATTCGACGTAGTTTACTTTTCACTTAGAAAGAGTTATTGAATACACAAGCAGAACGTTGCATACTTTATACTTCAATGAAAATAAAACTTATTGCTAGTACGCCATTAAAGTCTAATAATTTGTTTCATTATTAATTATTTCATAAATTTTATTGGCACCACGAAAAATGTTATCAAATAAAAATGATTTATGCATGTGTAAACGGTTTACCATACTTATTAGCTTCGTGCAGCATTTTGAACAACGCTACCTGCAGGGAAAAAGTTGTCGATGCTAACTAACAAGAATACACAGAATCTTATGGACAATGATCTGTTAAAAGCGTTCATTTCAACAGTAATTTATGTTTTTTTCAAATATTAATTCATTTCGTTTAGTACTTTTAAATCAGAACATTACAAAGTAATATTCATTATGCTCCCTCGTACATTATATCCATTTTCGAATAGAAATTTACATTTTTTCATGATGTTTAAAAGTATTACTTTCTATTAATATGTTACTTGGGACTGAAAAAACTTATATCAGTTGTTAAATATTTATTATTGTTGAAATAAACACTTGTAATCTACCATTGTCCATCTGATGCTGTGTATTCTTGTTAGTTAGCATCGACATCTCTTCCCCTGCAGGTGGCGTTGTTTTAAATTTCTGCACGAAGTGAATACTAGTGTATTAAGTACTAGCAGGTGTTATTTATATTCTCAAAACCCTTTTTTTACAAAATTGTTTGTAAAAATTAATTTTGGATCTACGAGCTTTTTTTATATTGTATTTTGCAGTGCCCACGTTGCTTAAGTCGATTTGCCAGTAATAATTTATTAAAAGTACAAGTATGTAAGAATAAAATAATCTTACGTACGTTTTGCTGCGACATTAAGAAAAAGCATGCAATTTCCAGAAAAGTGCCTATTTAGTAAATAAATGCATTTTTGAAAAAAGTAGAAATTTTTGGAAAACTAACTGTTCTTCACTGCAAAACAAATATTCAATTATAACGTTATTATTATCTGAATTCATTATTTATTAAAAAAGCACAGTTTTGTGCAGTTTTTTCGATTTTTATAAACAACTGAATGATTCTTCAAAAGTTTGGGCTTATTTGGTAGATATTTGCAATACCTACAACTTATTTTATTAGAGTATTGCTGTAAAATCTTTGGTAAAAATCATTTAACAAAAAACAATGAAATCGTTGTGTTTCTTTACTTTATTAAACAAATTAACAACCATGCATCATTTTCTATAAGATCTAAAAGATAAAAAATAGGGAGGTCAAATTGACTTTCACATTTTTTTTTTATAAAGTAACCATCAAACTTGCTCGATTGACTAGTCAAGAATTTTTTGGAATCATAGAATTTGTTGCAGACGAATTGATTTTCGTCGCGCTTGTAGAGCCTGAGAAAAAACAATTTTTTTCCTTTAAAGCGAGATTGTTGTTTAGAATATTGTTCTTTTCTTCAATTTACAGTATTAGCTATTTTTTACTTGAGTAAAAATTGGCAGATTGTTAAGTTTTATGAAATGAAAAAAGAGATACATAACGACTTTTATGGTGTGTCAAAGATTTATCAGCTCATTTGCAAGAATTCAAGACCACCTTGACTTTTGGCTTCGTTTTTATTTCTTTGTTTATACTTTTTATTTTCTTTATCTTCATAATTATATTACTATCTAGTAGCTGTTTTTGTTAGTTCAAAAGGAATTTAATTTTATGTTTCTTTTAAATAGATATTTCTACTACTAAATCTTTGTTCGAATTTTCGATAATCCAATACAAAACTCACTGTAGTTGTCTTAAAGCAGATATAGTTAAAAATTATGAACTGATATAAATATTCACAACTTAAATTTATCCATGATACACTTATACTTTGCTACTCGCGATCGTGTAGTATTGCATAAACCATCTGATATCCTTAAGTTTCTGATTAACATTACTGGTCCTTACCAATGGGTATTACTTTACCCGTTTTTATATAAAGTTAGTGAGGTGGTAAGCCTTAACAGATACTATTAAGGATTTCTAAAGAAAAATAAAAATTAATATTTTCATGTAGTATATCCAAACTCTTTGAAGTTGTTTGATCTATGCTTTCAAAAAACTAGAACTTTTTTTGGATCTATTTAAAATTTTATTGTTTAAAAATAAGTGCATTTATTGTGTAAAAATAAAATAGCATTAGTTTTTTAAATACTTTTAAATTATCGTTAGCGATAGAATAAATGATGAATGTTGTCTAAAAATAAGTTGTCTCTTAACCTCCAGGGCCATCTATAAAATAAATTTTATCACGTATTTTGCATACAGTATCAAAAATTATCATCTGATCGTAATTTAAATTCGCATACATATCAGCCAACATTTTCTGACAAAATAATTTATCAGTGACATCTTCTTGATGATTATATTTGTGGTGTAGGTCATTCAAAACATTATTATAATAAGTCTTCTGATTCTTAAATTTGATTTATTGTTAAAGAGCAAAATTATCTTTATCAGTATAAATATCTTATAAACATATACGAAGTTGATTCAACCGTGAACGGACCATCCCCTACTACTCGTAAATAGTAGTTTCGAGAAATTTGACACTGTCAAACATGGATTCTAAGGTGATTTATGATATCTAATAGTTTTTGGGGTCGCTGATTACGAATCTGACATCTGTTGACCTCTACCACGTCAGGTTCAAAGTCATTTGAAGGTCATTTGAACGTCAAAACATCGAAAATCGGTGAAAAAATCGAAAAAAATAAAAGCATATCAGGCCAAAACCGTCCAAATCGGCCCTCCCCCTTTCTTATATTAGTTTTGTATTTTGTCACCTTGGATGTTTTCTAAAATTCAAAACCAAGCAAAAAATTTGTCTTAGTTGATAAAGATGCATGACAGTAATTGCTTTCTAAGAAATATTGTTTGCTTGACAATAGTACTTAAGCCTATCGCAAATGCAGGATCGTTTATACGTTATACGACCTAATAGTATACATAACAGCTCTTGATAATAAATTACTAATATTTTTTGTGCTATCTTTTTGTAGTTTTTTGCATGGGGCATTCTACTTGACTTCCACAGCTCTCCAGAGCCCACCACTCACTCTCCACAAAATTAGGTCGAATTGTGTTGTTTTCTCCGTTACTTCGACTTGGCATATTTTTTTTCCAAACCTCTACGCCATCTTCCCCAACAGACCTCTACACCAATACCACCTCCACACACAGTTTCCCACAAATCACCCACACAATTTTTTTAACTCCCTACCACCCTGACAGTGCCCACATAATTTATAAGAAGTACACATACATATGTACATCATTTTGTTTTTGAATAAATAATAAAATACTTTAAAAGAAATTATAAAACATTTTATATTGTTATAAGCAGTTGAAATATTTTAATTAATTCTTAACCGCGACCCCAAAATTTTAACGATTACGTAATACAATCATTGTAACCTACATCAAATTTTCTGTAATAAACGTGCATTTTATTAATGGAGGAATCATGTTTACTGGTAGAGATAAATCAATTTATCTTGCACGGGACCTCGTATCAGCCCGTAGATACCTCTGCAAGTTTAAGTATAGTTTTTCTCAATGAAATTAATGATTATTCAAAATTTTTTATTTGGTAAATCGAGTTATAATTATTATTAGCCAATAATACTTTACTAATAATTATAATTGGAAAAATAAACGTATTTACTAGCATATTCATTTCTATTTTTAAGGATTACTTTTATTTATTAATACTTTACATGAACCCTATTTTTAAATCTAGAACGACATCTCAATATTA